TTACATTGTACAGTGATTTGATGATGCAGTTTGTTCAACTTACTTACAACCATGTTGTTGATGCTACATCTTCTTATGTTGTTTGATTCACTGACATAAATTTCATTTTTTTTACCATATATTTCTGATTTATTTATTTTCTAGCAAAATAAAATTTTACAATCTTTTTAAGAAATATGTTGAACTGTAAATTAAGTTGCAAATTTCAACTTTTTGCCAAATTATTTCATCTTGGCTTGACCATATATTAAGTTGTTTCAACAGGGACGTATATAGGTCCCTGGTTTCAATCACTAAAGATATATCACTTCTTTAGATTAGCCAAAGCTTTCTTTCTGAATTTTGAAAGACCGGAATTAGAACCTGGGCCCCCTTTAATCTCCAGTCAGGTGCTTTACCATAACTGAGCTATCTGACCACCGGCAATGGAACCCGGCTGACTACCACATTCCTCCCTCCTTTAAAGTCTTTAATTGGTCCCTTAAAGAACCCAACTAAGGCTCATCCCTGAGAGGCCTGTCACCTGTCAGTTCCAGGGCAAGGAATGGTACCAAATGTAATGGTAGAGGAAAAAAATGGAACAGAGAAAGACCACCAGCCTGGGATTTGAACATCAGCCCCCTGAATCTCCGCTCAGGTGCTCTACCAACTCCATGAGCTATCCAGCCACTGGCAATCAAACATAAAACATGTTTTTGAATGTTATAAAAAGTTTATGAAACTATTATTTGGCTAAATATTCAGACTAAACTGTAGACAGTAGACAAAATGTCCTTAATTGATGTATTATATTTGTTGACAATGCGACCTTTAGGGCTAACGTGAGTTATTCATGCAATTTGTTTTCACACACCATTGCAGTTATGAGACTATATCTTTCAAAAAATAATGATTCATTGCTTAAGTGGCATGATGATATATTTTTTACAGAAAGTGGGATTTAATAGTCACACTCAGTAAACAAAATTATCCATTTCTTAATTATGATTACCAGGTAAAACTTTTGCAGATTTGGCCCAAACAATATTCCTAGTTACTGGAACAGATGATGAAGGGCTGTAGGATTTGGAGGGAGGATTTGTTGAAGATAAAGAATGCCAACAATTGGTGCTAATATTGTGGTAAGTAGTTGTCAAGGGGATATACACTTAAAAAAGGTATAAATGTTAAATTTTCAAACCAGTTCCAGTCTCTTATCTTTACTAATCATTAGCTTACTGAAAAAATACAAATCAAAATAAAATGAAGAAATTAATAAAACTTTCCATTTTAATAACCTTTGTTTTAAAATATTTTTTTTAGAAGTTTTTACTCAAGGTATTGTTTGTCATGGTGCATACTGATGCATTTTCCTGTCCTATTGAAGAAAACTTCATTCTAGGATCTGACCAATCTTGCTGCAAACCTATACAGTGTTTGGAAAGTAAGCCATATATTTTGGAACAAAATTTTGTATTATTACATTTTTTCTAAAGCAAACAAATTATAATTAAGTTAAAGGCATATGCAAGAAGTTCCATTGATTTCTGATTTTGAAGCTCTCTATGAAATTACAGCTGTATTTTGTTTTTTAGATCAAGGCTACAGACTGTGTTCTAACGTTGATTCTCTGGGATATGATACTTGTTATGACTGTCCACCCGGAACTATAAATCGTGAAACACCAGTAAATACAGCAAATTTCAGATTTCGAGATTTTGACTTCTGTACCAAAATCAACTGTGATTGTCTTCCTGGTAAGTGGGAACATTTGGAAGCATGACTCATAAGGTGGCTTTGCTTTTCAACAAGATTTGTTAGAGCTGTTCCACTCCCATGCAAGGGTCATGATTTGGACAAACTTGAATCTACACTACTTGAGGATGCCTGAACTTTAATAAAACTAAACCAATTCTCACCTTGTTGTTCTTAGACAATATTTTAAAAAGATTTTTCTGATGTTATCCTGTGTAAAACTTTGACCTTTGATTGGAACTGCATCCTATTATTGCTTGGAGTTCTGATCATATTTTCTGCTCTTGATCAATCTGCACATGTAGAATTGTTATAAGTTTGAGAACATTTGAGAATGAAATTGTGCTTCGTTTGCTTCTAATTTGTTAAAAAAAGATGCCACTGAAAAGAATTGCTAGTTATTATTTTATTTCTGTGTTGTAGAAGCAGAACTTCAAAATAGAGAGGAATGTGAGAAAACTGGTGACAAGATCTGTGTCTGTAGGAGGCAGGACCGTTACTATGGTGATGACCCTGGAGCATGTAAAGGACCAATCAATGATAAGATCAAAGTGAAAAAGATCAGACAACCAGGATTTGAATTAAAAATCACAGGTAATTAAATAAACAGGTAGATTTTATACTTTTTTAATGATGTAACATGATAAACACAAACAGGATTTTCAGGATGACTTTCTCTTTCAGGAGAAGTTGACAAGTGTGAACTCGGATTCTTCAAGAACAAAAGTGATAGTTCTATATGTATTCCTCATACACAGTAAGTTAATACTCTATTCTATCATTTAATTTTGTATCAATTATTTACAATAAACAATACGTTATATCGCGACTACCAATGAGTACCTCGCAGTTATCTAACTTACTACCGCTCTTTTGCGGGGGAGTCGAGAAAAGTCTAAATTTCTGGGGGCAAATGACATTGTTTACAGTAGTGACAATCGAATGATTTGAACAATTTAATGCCGAAATCACGATGTTTTGCCAGATATTGAACTCCAAATAGTAGATTGTCAAATAAGGAAAGTTTAGAATATTTCATCTGCTTAAAAATGTGACGATTTTCAATGAAAATTTAACAAGAAGAGTCCGCTTAATTAAAAATATTGTTAAAAATGTGACAATTTAGGATTGGCTCCTCTCAAAAATATATTAGGCTGGTTCAGCGATTGTTTAGCGAGGTATTCCACCAGGAATTTTTACTTATCTGTCCTTATAAATGCTACAATGATCGATCTTGCTTTGTATTGAATAGCTCATTGCCCCCACCCAACAGACGATTCCTACCTCCTTCGCGAAAGAGTTCCACTAAGTTAAGTAATCGCAAATCAAGTATTGCATAGCGCTATCATGGTATGCATGTAGCTGAAAAAAAAAAATATGATTATACATATGTACGATGTTTCATAAATTGGAAGGGAAGCATCTCATATGCTTGGCTTCCTATCAGTTCTTGGAATTTTGATTTTGGGCACGTATAAATTAAATCATTATATACTTTGATATACTCGTTGTGATATCATATATGAGAATAAGTTCATTTAAAACAAATAAACAAATGGGATTGATCAACAGATGCCCTAATGGCTACCTATCAGTTTTTAATGGGTCTACAACTCAGGATAGAGAATGTCAGAGAATCACCACCACCACACAACCAGAAACTACCACACAACCAGAAACCACCACACAACCAGAAACTACCACACAACCAGAAACCACCACACAACCAGAAACTACCACACAACCAGGTACCACCAAACAACTAGTCACCACAAAAATGCTAGATAACACTACACTGCAACCAGTCACTATCTCAAAAACTGTTGTTATTTTTACAACACCAATGCTTGCAGGAAAGAGAGTTATAAAGGAGCCAGATACTTCTGTTGGAGATGACAGCTCTACACCTGACCCAGGTTCTGGAAATAATCAACCAGAAGAAGGTTATTTATAGAAACTTTAGAACCACAGGGATATGAAGGGTGTGCTTGTATATTTTGATAGTAATTTAAGTATTAGTTCAAAATACACATGTACAACTTACATTTATTTCTTTTTTATGCAGGTAGTAAGGATTTAGTCTGGGTAGCAATTGGTGTTGGTATGCCTATAGGGTAAGTGATGACTCTTGACTCATGGTCATTCCAACATGTTCAAGTTTTTAAATAATTCGAATCATGGCCCCTGAGGGTAGGGTAGGGCAACAGTAGGTATTACAAGGGCGAAACATGGAACAGCTAAGCTTAAGTTACTCAGGTGCGCCATTTGGCCCATGGGCCTCTTGTTTAAAATGTGCCATTAAATTTTCATTACTTTTTCATTATCTCCCCTTAAAAGAATTTATGGTCCCATATTTGATAAACTTTAGTCCCCTTTAGGCAATGATGCTTAAAGCTAGCAGACAAAGAAGGAAAAAATGTGAAATTTTACAACAAATTTTGTTCAATTGAAAAAGTTGACCAGAACCATAGTTCATGTGAGCTAAAAAGGGTAATTATATTCAAAGACAAGGAAGTGACAATTACAGACAATTTAGGTTAAATATTATCGGAAGCAATTGAACAAATAAATTATTATTTTCTTTCTTCGACAATTGTCAAAACGCCAATGCCTTGTTTCAGATTAATTGTTGTACCTGTGTGTATATATTACTGCTGTAAAAGTAGGAAGAAACTGGAAAAACTTCAGCAGCCAGAACAAAGCAAAGGTAATTTGAATACAGCTGATTTGCTTACTAGGTGAACGTGAAATCAAGGAGGTTGTATTATTATCCCCCTACTGGTAAAACCAGAGCCAACTATGAATTTCCTCCTCATCTGTTTGTTCATTTGTCTGTATGTCTATCTGTTAGTCTGACCCTCTTGGTTTTCTGCACTTTTTTTCTAAGTGCTTGCAGGCAGATACTGACTTGATTTTTGGTATGTCAGCATAACTTGATGAATTACAAGCTAAGTTTGCATTTCATTCTTTATTGATTTTTGACAGAATTATGTTTTTTTTAAAAATTTTTATTGGGATTAGTATATTCCTTATGCAATGCTTTCTGAATGTTTATTTAATTTTATTACCCTTTTACCAAAAATTAATTATTTAATCTGTCAATAGATTTTATTTTTTTTTTTTCTTAATTTCAGACATAGAACTAAACAAGATACATGTACCAGTTGAAAAACCAGCAGTTAGTTGTCCAGATATTAACAATATAACAAATGATAAAGAAGCAGTCAATATGTCAGAAAAAGAACCTTTGTTACATATAACTGTAGATGATGAAACAGTGCACATTGAAGAAGTAGATAGGCAAAGCAATGCAAGTTTTGTGGGACCAGATAGAGTTATAAAGCAGTTTACAGAGGAAATACCTAACTCCAGTTACCAGAAAACAGCTCTCAGTGTTGAAGATATGGATAGTGAGACAGTGACTTATCAAGTCATAATACAGTGCAAAGAGCCATCTCAACAAAGTGATGTACAGAGTATACCATCACATGATTCTGCCAACTTAAACACTGCAGTAAAAGCACAAAACTTTTCAGTTTGTGAAGATGAATCTCCAAAAGTTAAAAAGATAACTGTTGAAAAGCAAAAGAGTGATCCAACTAACATAGTACAAATGGCAGAGCCCTGTTCAATACCTAATGATATAGTCCAAATGGAAAATCCCCCCATTATTTTTTTAGCTCCAGACACTTCACCTCTGGTCTTTCCTAGTGACCCTCAGCCACCTTTGACCTTTCCTAGTGACCCTCAGTCAACTCTCACCTTTCCTAGTGACCCTCAGCCACCACATTCTATTGGTTCTCTAAGGAGTGATGAAAAGTACTCACACTTGTCTCTTAGTTCTCTAAATGGAGATCAGCATATAGTTCCAGCAGACAGTGACTATGGAACAGGTTATTATAATTTTTTATCGATGTTACATTTTATTACTGTATACAGGGTTATTTTCGCCCTTTTACACTTGCTTACAATTTTGCCCCGTTTTAATTTCTCCCAGTCACAGTTCTGTTTAAGAAATTATACTGTTTTCTTTGAATTCGCCCTGTTTTAAATTCGCCCACTTTTGACAAGGGCGAAAGGGGCCAAAATAAAACGGGGGCGAAAATTTCCCTGTATACAGTATTAATATTTTCAAAAAAAAATAAATTATGCATTCTTAATGGTTTTCAAAAGTTATAATTCTGTGATTGTTCAGTAATACTCATGGGTAAATTTCAAGGTAATTGCTGGTTAGATATCTGGTAACATTTAAAATTTGCATATTATTAAAAACTGTTTGGGATTGAACTCTGGATAATGTTTGTGTTGATTTCTTTCTTTCCAGGATCTTCAACAAAAAATAATTCCAGAACTTTAGACTCGTTAGATTCATCAGGAAATTATTCAGACTTGCATTTGTCCTCATTACAAAGTAACAAGGGAAATCTCAGACCAGGCCAGCCAAACAAGACAGTAGTCCCACCTCAGCAAGAAAGTCATCAGAACATTAACAATCCAAAAGTTGTTGGTAAAGACCAGTTATTTTACAGTTAATTAAGGGAACTTTTTTAAATTTTATTTATTTTTTATAAAGACTGCTAATAGTTAATTTATTAGGAGACATCAATAAGAAAAATTCCAAAGAATACGTAATACACTGTACCATGGTAACGATTTATCTTTTTGGCTTACTAGTATAACTTAAGAACCCATAAATGTATAGACTTCAAATACATGGAAAAGTTGAGGAGAGAGGCATATTTGTCATTGTGACCCCAAAATGTTTCTGATTATTAAGTAAATAAAATAATTTTCTATTAATAATTTTGAAGCAATTGTGCCTTTCAGAAGAGATCAGATTATTGAGCCATGAAATATTTTTTTTTCTATTTAATATTGTAGCAATTGTGTCACCTTATAGAAGAGATGAAAAAGGCAACTTGAAGGTAATCATCACAAATAAATTAAACACATAAATTTCATTTATCATCTGAAAATATTTTGAAGACTAATCACTATAGAGATTTAGTCTAATTACAGATGTCGGATATAAACTCGAAGTCACCTGAATCATTAAGATAACCCATTGATTGATATTTGTTTATGTGTGCTGTGCACTTTGTTTAACTGGTTTTGTCGGTTGTGAATGTCATGGTCCCTGTCCCAAACCCCCTCCCAGGCCTGAAGGTTAGGGCCAAAACCATGAAATTTAATGCAATCTCAAAAATAATTTTACTGCTGGGTCCTATTCTATGCATTACTAAGGCCATCTTTAAAATAATGTTTGCTTGCCTTAAGGGCAATGCCCTCTCCCAACTCAGGGAAAAATTACCGAGTTGGTAGGTACCAGTAAGTTGGAAAATCCAGAAAATTTCAACTCATTGCTGACAGGAAATGAGGAGTAAAAAAGAAAAAATACTGTATCCTGGAATTAAAAAAAAAAGTTTTGAGTCAGGGCATTTTATTACATATAAGTCAGAGGGTCGGGAGAAGGCTACCAAACAATTTTTTAAAGATGGCCTTAGGCCAAAGTGTTATATGTGGGTTGTTGTAATATTATGTCACCTAAAATATTGTTATCCTATAGACTTCTTGTATGCTTGTTTTTTGCAGATCATTATTAGAAGTAAACTCTCTTTTCTTTTCTTTTGTAGATTGTTGATGAGGAACAGACTTATTCCAAGACACCATAGTTCAGGTCTGGTACAATCATTAGATTTAGCTACGTAGCTTGACTTACCTACATAGCTTTATTTACCTACCTGGGGTAGCTTTATTTAGCTACCAAATCAATTTATTTCTACAAGAAAGCATTTTTCTTAGGGTGTGCAGAAAATATGATTTTGATGCAGTGATTATTTT